AAAAAGAAGTGAAAAGAATGAGGAGTACTTGTGGTACCTTAGAGATGAACAAATTTATTTGGGCATAAATTTGTTTGTCTCTAAGGTGCCACAAGTACTCCCCGTTCTTTTTGCTGATACAGATTAACACCGCTACCACTCTGAAAAAAAAAGTGAGTATTTTCAAGCCTTGCCAAGAGGGAGCCAAGTGGCATACATAATTAATTTTAAATCTCTCTCCATTGTGAAGTCTCACTTTGGCAGCTCCAATGGGCACTGCGTAGGAAAATACAAATGTTTTCCCCCAAATGTGCCCCCTGCTGTTGTCACTAATCCCAGAGCTTCCAGGATCATCCCCTCCCCAACTCCACTCCCTGATGCTCTGTCTCATGCCCCTCCCCTCCCCCGAGGTGCAAAGTGATGTTGCAACACAAACTTGATCATGGAAGAAGATAGGACCTGTAAGACACAGAGTATGGTGGCCACTGGAGAAGAGGACTCTTGGATGCACTCAAGCATGGGTTAAAAAAAAAAAGACATCCAACATACACCCTTGTCAATTGTTCATTTCATGTTTGCAGCATGCCCTAAGGGGGAAGCAACAATAGAAGAACTAACACTATCTGCACCCCTCAGTCTTCTGGGGAGGGACTGGGAAGAACTATTATTTATTATTTGTGTTATGGTAGCACCTAGGAGCCCCAGTTGTGGTCCAGAATCCCATTGTGTTAAACACAGAACAAAAAGATGCCCCCTGCCTCAAAGAACATAAGAATATAAGAGTTCCAGACTAAGACCATGGTCCACCTTGCCCAGCATCCTCTCTCTGACAGTGGCCCATTCAGAGGAGAGTGCATAGAACAAGGCAGTTATGGAGTCCACTTGTGGCTTCTGGTCAAAGGTTTGTGTAGACAAGCCCGCACAGAGTGCAGGCACTTTCATTCCTCCCACCCTCTGGGCTTTGTTATGGTTTTCATCCCAGTGTGCACTGTTAAAGCCCCTTTTGTGTGGAGAAATACTTTGACCAGGAGACTTCTTTATGCATTTTTCCTATTAGCAATTACAGCTACGGTTAGGGATGATAGCCATTCTGGAGTCGAGATGTCAGGGAAAAGGATTACACCTCCATGCCAGCTCCTTATCCCATGCCCTTGACGCAGCTCATGATAATGGAGTGGTGGCTGTTCACACAGTGAATGTCTTGTCAGCGTGTCATATCAATACCTGCACAGCCTCCTTTGGGTTCACACCAGGAACTAGACCTTTCCATTTGCAGCCTCTCTGAAGTTCCAGATGGGCCTAAAGCATCCATCTGTCATGCCAAATGCACTGTCAGTGCATTTACATGTGCCACAGCCCATTGCTGGGTTAGATCCAAGCAGAAATGTGCCTCATTACAGTTAACCCGGCTGCTGGCCCAGCAGTGCAATTGATTGGTTCCCCTCTCTGTCCCATTACCTTGGTTCTCTGGCTCCCACAAACACATTGCCCTGTGGGTTGTCCACATGATGGGCTGCTGGTATTTATTTAATGGGTGGCCCCAGAACCTTTCTGTTCAGTTCTGCTTTTCCTCTTCCCACAGACTTCCTGACTTCAGTAATGCAGACCTCGACTCCAGCTCTGAAGCCGACATCCCCTGTGAGAATTGCTGCTTTCTTCAGGATAGATATGTTTAGTGCCTCCCACAGACTGGCCTGGTAACTAGCTCTCTATGTTGTATGGCTTAGACGTTCAATGCAAACTGCAAAAGAGATCTGTCTTCTCAGCCATTGACTGGTGATTGGTAGCTGGGAGGGGAATGCCGCGCTGGCTCTACCTGGCATTCGCTAAGATGTTTGGCTGGGGTGGGGTAGTGAGCTGCACACAGCTTTGCAGAATGGACATGCTAGTGATGGAGCTGGATGCTTCTGAGTTCATCCTTACCTTTGTTACTTACAGGACAGGAGACGTTTGTGGGCCCGTTACTCTGCAGCTAATGTGGCTGGAGACAAAATGGCATTGCCATGACTTTTGACTTCCCCAGTCAACGATGCTGGACTGTATAGAGCTCTCTCAAATCCAAGCCAATCCCAGCAGTGTGAGGCCCCGGCCCAAGGCTGAGAGAGCCCCTCACTCCTCTCCCCTACAGCATTGGCAGCTCCACATCAGGAGTGTCCCAGACTAGGTCTCTGAATCAGCATTCCCCCCCCCCAAAGCCAATTCAAGTGAAGCCTGCAGTGCTGCTTACGGCTGGGGCCCCTTTCTAATGTCTTTTTCAGGGCAGCTGACGAGATGCACTGAAAAGCCACCTAGATTTATGCTGGGCTCCTTTGGGTCCTGCCCCAGGGCTTTAGTCACTGTGGCAGCAAGAGAGAGGTGGCAGAGTGCTACTCCTCCGGACTTCCTGGTTCCTCTTCCTGCAGTCTCTCCTTCTCCACATCTCTCCATTCTGTAGTGGTTAGCGTTTTCTCTCTAACACTCACTGCCTTTAGCTGCTGGGTGTCTCACTGCCATTTGAAATACAGCATGGCTAAACCCGACAGTGGCTCTCATCCTTTCCAGACCACTGTACCCCTTTCTGGAGTCTGATTGGTCTTGCGTCCCCCCAAGTTTCACCTGCTTAAAATTACTTGCTTACAAAATCAGACATAAAAATGCAGATGTGTCACAGCATGCTGTTACTGACAAGTTGCGGACTTTCTCATTTTTACCATATAATTATAAAATCAATTAATTGGAATATAAATATTGTACTTACATTTCAGGGTATAGTATATAAAGCAGAATAAACAAGTCATTGTCTGTATGAAATTTCAGTTTCTACTGACTGCGCTGGTGCTTTTTATGTAGCCTGTTGAAAACTAGGCAAATATCTAGATGAATTGATGCAGCCCCTGGAAGACCTCTGAGTTTTGGGCCCCACACTACAAGAAGGATGTGGAAAAATTGGAAAGAGTCCAGCGGAGGGCAACAAAAATGATTAGGGGACTGGAACACATGACTTATGAGGAGAGGCTGAGGGAACTGGGATTGTTTAGTCTGTGGAAGAGAAGAATGAGGGGGGATTTGATAGCTGCTCTCAACTACCTGAAAGGGGGTTCTAAAGAGGATGGATTGAGACTGTTCTCAGTGGTAGCTGATGACAGAACAAGGAGTAATGGTCTCAAGTTGCAGTGGAGGAGGTTTAGGTTGGATATTAGGAAAATCTTTTGCACTAGGAGGGTGGTGAAACACTGGAATGCGTTACCTAGGGAGGTGGTGGAATCTCCTTCCTTAGATATTTTTAAGGTCAGGCTTGACAAAGCCCTGGCTGGGATGATTTAGTTGGGGATTGGTCCTGCTTTGAGCAGGGGATTGGACTAGATGACCTCCTGAGGTCCCTTCCAACCCTGATATTCTATGATTCTATGATACCCCTGGTTGAGAACCACTGCTGTAGGATACAACCCTGCTATCCAGGCCTGTAACCTGGGGCTCATTGGTGGTTGTTCCTCTTCCCTTTCCTCAGACATGCAGGGCACATCCAGATCTTACTGCTTCTTAATCAACAGTATCTCTAACATACTCCTCCAGCCTCTCATCGTCTCCTCTCTGGCCTCCCTGACATTCAGAGCTCCCCCTTGCAGTCCATACAAAACACAGTACTAAGATCGGTGAGAGTGCCTGTCACTTTGATCACTTCACCCATCCTTTGAATCCCTCCATCTTACCCCCTTCATCTCATCCTAGTCAGTCTTCTGGCCCATCCCCTTCAGGGCCCATTGTGACTCTGCCCCCATCTACTAATGTCTCTCTTTTATTGCATCATACAGTCCTGTGCCAGCCTGTCATGCCATCTCTCTACTTCCCCCACAAGCCTTCTAGGATGCCACTTGTGCATGGAACACCCTATCTGTGCTTGGCTACGAGGCCACTTCCCTCTCTGCTGTCATATCCCTCTACAAGAGCCACTTTTTCAGGAACTAGCTATGTCATCTGCTTCTCTATTACATCTCCCAGGGGCACTGCTCATCTAAGCAGAGGGCAGCATCTAGTGTTGGCAGGGAAGGAGTGTGGTGTAAGAATATTTCATATGAAACTGGAGACTGGCCTTGGAGGAAAACAAGGGAGATGAACTGTGGGGGAAGAAAAATCTAGTTTGGTGGTAGTTTTGAGCTTGTATGCTATACCTTTCTCCCCCTGCCTGTGTGTTTCTTGTCTTTCAGACTGAGCACTCCTCAGCACAGGGATAGTGTCTTCCTCTGGGTTTGGAAAATGCAGCACACACTGAGGGCACTATATTAGTAAATTCATGGCAGCCTCACAGGGTCTGAGGTCAGAATCTTGGACAAGTGAATGAGCCAGTGAATGGCCGCAGCGTAGAACAGGGTATTCGGCATGGGCAGCAGACAGTAGTATCTCTGTGGTTTCCCTGTACACAGCCAGGTGACGCTGCAGGCCAGTGGTAGCGTGAACTTGCGCTGCTGCTGGGGAGAGCAGGGCTCAGACACTGTTAGCTGGAGGCAATAGCTAACAGTTAGCAACAGTCAGGAAGCGGAGCCTGGCACAGTGTAGTGCACCACCTACTGTCCAACCATCTGTAGTGCCGGAGAACTAGCTGAGACATAATGTCTCCATGAAGGGAGCAGTCTAAGCCCTGGTCTACACTAGGACTTTAGGTCGAATTTAGCAGCGTTAAATCGATTTAAACCTGCACCCGTCCACACAATGAAGCCCTTTATTTCGACTTAAAGGGCTCTTAAAATCGATTTCCTTACTCCACCCCTGACAAGTGGATTAGCGCTTAAATCGACATTGCCGGCTCGAATTTGGGGTACTGTGGACACAATTTGATGGTATTGGCCTCCGGGAGCTATCCCAGAGTGCTCCATTCTGACCGCTCTGGACAGCGCTCTCAACTCAGATGCACTGGCCAGGTAGACAGGAAAAGAACCGCGAACTTTTGAATCTCATTTCCTGTTTGGCCAGCGTGGCAAGCTGCAGGTGACCATGCAGAGCTCATCAGCACAGGTGACCATGATGGAGTCCCAGAATCGCAAAAGAGCTCCAGCATGGACCGAACGGGAGGTACGGGATCTGATCGCTGTTTGGGGAGAGGAATCCATGCTATCAGAACTCCGTTCCAGTTTTCGAAATGCCAAAACCTTTGTGAAAATCTCCCAGGGCATGAAGGACAGAGGCCATAACAGGGACCCGAAGCAGTGCCGCGTGAAACTGAAGGAGCTGAGGCAAGCCTACCAGAAAACCAGAGAGGCGAACAGCCGCTCTGGGTCAGAGCCCCAAACATGCCGCTTCTATGATGAGCTGCATGCCATTTTAGGGGGTTCAGCCACCACTACCCCAGCCGTGTTGTTTGACTCCTTCAATGGAGATGGAGGCAATACAGAAGTAGGTTTTGGGGACGAAGAAGATGATGATGAGGAGGAGGTTGTAGATAGCTCACAGCAAGCAAGTGGAGAAACCGGTTTTCCCGACAGCCAGGAACTGTTTCTCACCCTAGACCTGGAGCCAGTACGCCCCGAACCCCACCCAAGGCTGCCTCCTGGACCCAGCAGGCGGAGAAGGGACCTCTGGTGAGTGTACCTTTTAAAATGCTATACATGGTTTAAAAGCAAGCATGTGAAAGGATTACTTTGCCCTGGCATTTGCGGTTCTCCTAGATGTAGTCCTAAAGCCTTTGCAAAAGGTTTCTGGGGAGGGCAGCCTTATTTCGTCCTTCATGGTAGGACACTTTACCACTCCAGGCCAGTAACACGTACTCGGGAATCACTGTAGAACAAAGCATTGCAGTGTATGTTTGCTGGCATTCAACCAAAATCCGTTCTTTATCTCTCTGTGTTATCCTCAGGAGAGTGAGATATAATTCATGGTCACCTGGTTGAAATAGAGTGCTTTTCTTCAGGGGACACTCAGAGGAGCCCATTCCTGCTGGGCTGTTTGCCTGTGGCTAAACAGAAATGTTCCCCGCTGTTAGCCACAGGGAGGGGAGAAGGTTGAGGGGGTAGTCACGCGGTGGGAGGAGGCAAAATGCGACCTTGTAACGAAAGCACATGTGCTATGTATGTAATGTTAACAGCAAGGTTTACCCTGAAAGAGTGTAGCCACTGTTTTATAAAATGTGTCTTTTTAAATACCGCTGTCCCTTTTTTTTTCTCCACCAGCTGCATGTGTTTCAATGATCACAGGATCTTCTCCTTCCCAGAGGCTAGTGAAGCTTAGAAAGAAAAAAAACCGCACTCGCGATGAAATGTTCTCCGAGCTCATGCTGTCCTCCCACACTGACAGAGCACAGACGAATGCGTGGAGGCAAATAATGTCAGAGTGCAGGAAAGCACAAAATGACCGGGAGGAGAGGTGGAGGGCTGAAGAGAGTAAGTGGCGGGCTGAAGAGAGTAAGTGGCGGGCTGAAGACAGGGCTGAAGCTCTAATGTGGCGGCAGCGTGATGAGAGGAGGCAGGATTCAATGCTGAGGCTGCTGCAGGACCAAACCAGTATGCTCCAGTGTATGGTTGAGCTGCAGCAAAGGCAGCTGGAGCACAGACTGCCACTGCTGCCCCTCTGTAACTAACCGCCCTCCTCCCCAAGTTCCATAGTCTCCACACGCAGATGCCCAAGAACGTGGTGGGGGGGCCTCCGGCAAACCAGCCACTCCACCACAGAGGATTGCCCAAAAAAAAGAAGGCTGTCATTCAATAAATTTTAAAGTTGTAAACTTTTAAAGTGCTGTGCTTAAAGTGCTGTGTGGCATTTTCCTTCCCTCCTTCACCACCCCTCCTGGGATACCTTGGTAGTCATCCCCCTATTTGTGTGATGAATGAATAACGAATGCATGACTGTGAAGCAGAAATGACTTTATTGCCTCTGCAAGCAATGATTAAAGGGAGGAGGGGAGGGTGGTTAGCTTACAGGGAAGTAGAGTGAACCAAGGGGCGGGGGGTTTCATCAAGGAGAAACAAACAGAACTTTCACACCGTAGCCTGGCCAGTCATGAAACTGGTTTTCAAAGCTTCTCTGATGCGTACCGCGCCCTCCTGTGCTCTTCTAACAGCCCTGGTGTCTGGCTGCACGTAACCAGCAGCTAGGCGATTTGCCTCAACCTCCCACCCCGCCATAAACGTCTCCCCCTTACTCTCACAGATATTGTGGAGCACACAGCAAGCAGTAATAACAGTGGGAATATTGGTTTTGCTGAGGTCTAAGCGAGTCAGTAAACTGCGCCAGCGCGCCTTTAAACGTCCAAATGCACATTCTACCACCATTCTGCACTTGCTCAGCCTGTAGTTGAACAGGTCCTGACTACTGTCCAGGCTGCCTGTGTACGGCTTCATGAGCCATGGCATTAAGGGGTAGGCTGGGTCCCCAAGGATACATATAGGCATTTCAACATCCCCAACAGTTATTTTCTGGTCTGGGAATAAAGTCCCTTCCTGCAGCTTTTGAAACAAACCAGAGTTCCTGAAGATGCGAGCATCATGCACCTTTCCCGGCCATCCCACGTTGATGTTGGTGAAACGTCCCTTGTGATCCACCAGAGCTTGCAGCACTATCGAAAAGTACCCCTTGCGGTTTATGTACTCGGCGGCTTGGTGCTCCGGTGCCAAGATAGGGATATGGGTTCCATCTATAGCCCCACCACAGTTAGGGAATCCCATTGCAGCAAAGCCATCCACTATGACCTGCACATTTCCCAGGGTCACTACCCTTGATATCAGCAGATCTTTGATTGCGTGGGCTACTTGCATCACAGCAGACCCCACAGTAGATTTGCCCACTCCAAATTGATTCCCAACTGACCGGTAGCTGTCTGGCGTTGCAAGCTTCCACAGGGCTATCGCCACTCGCTTCTCAACTGTGAGGGCTGCTCTCATCTTGGTATTCATGTGCTTCAGGGCAGGGGAAAGCAAGTCACAAAGTTCCATGAAAGTGCCCTTACGCATGCGAAAGTTTCGTAGCCACTGGGAATCGTCCCAGACCTGCAACACTATGCGGTCCCACCAGTCTGTGCTTGTTTCCCGAGCCCAGAATCGGCGTTCCACAGCATGAACCTGCCCCATTAGCACCATGATGCATGCATTGTCAGGGCCCATGCTTTCAGAGAAATCTGTGTCCATGTCCTGATCACTCACGGGACCGTGCTGACGTCGCCTCCTCGCCCGGTATCGCGTTGCCATGTTCTGGTGCTGCATATACTGCTGGATAATGCGTGTGGTGGTTAATGTGCTCCTAATTGCCAAAGTGAGCTGAGCGGCCTCCATGCTTGCCTTGGTATGGCGTCCGCACAGAAAAAAGGCGCGGAACGATTGTCTGCCGTTGCTCTGACGGAGGGAGGGGCGACTGACGACACGGCTTACAGGGTTGGCTTCAGGGAGCTAAAATCAACAAAGGGGGTGCCTGTACATCAAGGAGTATTTCAGGCAGGACTGCACGGAGGGTTCCAGTAAGAAATGGTGCACCTAAGTTATCGTTGTTATTGGAACAAGGAGGTTAGCCTGGCCTCTGATTGATACATGGCTAGATTTACCTCGCTGCACCTTCTCTGTGAGTGACTGCAGTGTGACCTAGAGGAATGAGTCCCCTAGACAGGGGAGGAGGCAAATGAGTACAAAACAAATCTGGTCTATTTCTTGTTTTGACCCACTCCATCTATCTTTTACATCTTTGGCTGGCAGCAGACGGTGCAGAAGGACTGCATGCCATCCACATCTCATGGCTGCTCGGCAGAAGATGGTACAGTACGACTGCTAGCAGTCCGTATCGCCTGCCCGCTCACCATAAGACGGTTCAATAGGACTGACTGCAGGACTAAAGAGAATGACCTGGTCAAGTCACTCCAAATTTAGTCCCTGTGCCCATGTCTGCCCAGGCGCTCCTGATCGACCTCACAGAGGCGACCAGGAGCACCTCAGACATGACGATGACGGCTACCAGTCGTACTGTACCGTCTGCTGCCACAAGGCAAGGGGTTGCTGCTACTGTGTAGCAATGCCGTACCGCGTCTGCCAGCACCCAGGAGACATAGGGTGACGGTTACCTGAGCGGGCTCCATGCTTGCCATGGTATGGCGTCTGCACAGGTAACTCAGGAAAAAAGGCGCGAAATGATTGTCTGCCCTTGCTTTCACGGGGGGAGGGAGGGAACGGGGGGCTGACGATATGTACCCAGAACCACCCGCGACAATGTTTTAGCCCCATCAGGCATTGGGATCTCAACCCAGAATTCCAATGGGCAGCGGAGACTGCGGGAACTGTGGGATAGCTACCCACAGTGCAACGCTCCGGAAGTCGACGCTTGCCTCGGTACTGTGGAAGCGCTCCGCCGAGTTAATGCACTTAATGCACTTAGAGCATTTTCTGTGGGGACACACACACTCGAATATATAAAACCGATTTCTAAAAAACCGACTTCTATAAATTCGACCTAATTTCGTAGTGTAGACATACCCTAAGGATTTGCAGGAGCTAGTAAACAAGATTGTGTAGGTTGATCTGGCCTTCAACTCAGGCAGCCAACAAGACTAGCTGCTCAAAAGGCAGAGAAATATGCCTCTCTGACCGAAACCTTGAGAGCTAAGGGCTACCAGGTTCAGACACACGCACTGATTGTCAGAGCTTTGGGCGCATGGGACCCCAGTAACAAGCGAGTGCTGAGAGGATGCAGAATTGGTCAATGCTACACTCAGCTGATGCAGCAACTCATGGTGTCGGATGCCATCAGGTGGTCGAGGGACATCTACATAGAACACATCACCGGACATTGGCAATACCAGGAGGGATGAGCTGGAGTGCCGATGAGAAGTGCAGTCAGGAAAATGACTGAAATACTTTCCTCATGGATTGAATTTTCAAAATGGACAACCTACTTAATTCTCAATTACTGAGGGACAATCTCCATTCATTGTTATATTTTGCTTTCCACAACCCAACCTCTGTATAACTTTTTATGAGTGCTGTACCCGAGTATTCAGATTCTAACATCTAAACTGTATTGTTAAATCTATTCACCTAAATGTGGGTTAGTGCTGATTATGTACTCTATGTATCATATGACTTTAAAAACAAACTTTGTATTTGTGGATAATCTAAGCACTATACCCAGATGTACAGACACTCTTTTCTCAGCCTATGTATTATATACATTTAAATCACCTGCCTTCTGCTCTAGGGGATAGGTTTTATCCCTGTGAAAAGCTTGACTTTCACTGTATATTGAAGCAGACTTTGTTACAACTATGGGTCTGGATCCAATTTCCTCTGTATGACCTACCAGCCTATGTGCCTGTAACGTGTGCACCTGATACTTGAACAGAGGAAGATGAGAGATGGGAAAATTCCTAATATCTCATCCAGCTGTCCCACTAGCTGCCCTTTGCTAGTGTTTTATCCAGTCTCATTTTTCAGCCACTAGGGCTTTGCACCAGGAAAAGCTCCCAAGGAAAATAGTTACAGGACTCAGTTTTCCTTTGCTTTATTTCATCTATTGCTCCTACTTATCCCCCCATGTATCTCTGGTCTGATCTAATTCCTCACCCTCCCTCCCTTCTAGGAGCAGTAGAAGATTATGTCCCCCTGGAGTTAGTACTTAGCCCTCCTCTATTGATTGACCTCTTTCCTTATAGTCAATTTCTCTGGCCCCTCAACCATTTTCATTGCTGTTCCCTTAGCTCTCTCCCACTTTACGGCTACCTTTCTGGTAATGAGATGGCCTGAACTGAAAGAGATATATTTCAGGTGTGACGATAGCAGTGCCTTGTAAAGAGGGGCTCTTTCCTACCAAACCCTACTCAGAATCTTACTGCCAGGGGAGACATCTGCAAAAGAGACCAGACTCTTGTCTTTTGCTGCCTTCTTCCCATGCTGCAAGCATCTTTCCCTCGCCCACATACAGACACATCTTGGACTGATTCAGTATCCTTGCTCTCAGATTTCTCCCTCCCAATAAGCACCTGGGGGTTGGGTTACTTGTCCACACATATGTTAGCCTAAGTTGTATCTTATTTCATTTCCCGCCCCTAGAGCCTTTGGATTTCTCTGCCCTCCCTAGTGTCTGCGTCTCCTCACCATTTAGTGTTACCTGTTGGATTCATTGTTAGCCCTGGGCAAAGGAGCTGGATTGACATGGCCTGTCCCTGCTCTAAGGACCTCTGTCACAAGGACGTGGGCGATGTCAGCTTCCTCCAGTCACAGCTGCTTTCCCTTGTCCTGGAGGCCCCTACGCTTATTCCATCTGTGTGGCCCATTCATTTGTGGGTGCTATTTGCAGTAGTTGAGATGGCTCTGAGGGCCCAAGATAAGGCCTGGTTTAATTTGGAAAGGGCTGGATTAGAGTGTTTGCAGTGAGAGGGGGCCTTGCCTGTGGAATACTCTCCCCCTGCTTTGCCACAACCCTAGTTTAAAGCTCATTTCTCTTCCTTGGCTTTCTCTGGGGCATGGGGGGGAGATGAGTAGCAGGATCAGGCTCGGGATAGAGCTTGTTATTTTGGGAGAGTTGCATCTGAATTGCTGTGCTAATTTGGTAATCTGTTTCTTTATTTAGCCTACATGATGCTTTGGAGCTAGGTACAAAGCAGAGCAGGCTAGCTTGTGTGTAGTGAACACCAGCCACCAAAGTCCTGGGGTGGAGGCTGTGCTCTTCACTCAGGAAAGGGGGGTAGTGTAGTATTTCTGAAACAATACATGCCCAGGGGACTGGCTTTCTGTCCCTCACACCTGCATCAGCATGAACAACTGCAGAAATGTCTGGGTTATGGAGGAGCTCAGAAGAGATGATCATAATGGTCACTTCTGGCCTTTAAAATGTATGATTCGAGAAGTCCCTGAGCAAGAAATTGAGCCCATTCCCCATGTACCAATCACTGTGAGCAGTCTTTTATTAGTAGAGCCAGACAGATAAGTTGCTGTATGTGGCCTCCACAAACAAACAACTAACCCGTTCCCTCTTCACCCATCCCACCACAACTAAAGCATCTGAGCATAAGGGACTTCCCCATCTACCTGAAAGATGAATGAATGAGAGTTATATTCGACTGGAGGAAGGTTAATTAAGGCAATGCCCTCTAAGTGTGCCTAAGCAGAAAAATAAAAATAGCTGTGTTTGACACCTGCTGGTTTCACTGTGGATTGTGGGGGGCATAATGGGGGCATGACAGATGTGTTGACCCACGCTGATTTCACAACAGGATGCGGTGTGGGGGCATATTTGACTCATGTTGATTGCACTGGGGGATGTAGCAGGGATGTGTCAGGGGCATGTTTGATCCATGTTGGTCTCACTGGGGGACATGATGGGAAGGGGCATGTTTCACACACTAGTTTTGCTGTGGGCACATGTCAAGGATGTGTTTGCCCCACGCTGGTTTCACTAGGGGGCATGGCAGGGACACAGCAGAGGGGTGTTTGACCCACGCTGGTTTCACTCAGAGGCGTGGCAGGGGCATGGTTTGAGATATGGAGGGTTTCAATGGAAGCATGGGATGACACCGATCCTTTTTCTTTGAGTCGTGATGTTTGCACAGGCTGTTAGCGCACAGCGCATAGACAGACTAGAACGGATATTTTCCAGCTGCCAAGTAGGGCAGCTCCCTCTCTGCTCTTCCTGGCTGAGTTGAGACAGTTTCCTGAAGAAGCAGTGGCATGCTTGGGACTCGGAGGAGGCAATTTCCCCTCCTTCCCTTGATCCCTTCTCGCCTTTAGCTTTGTGCACTAAAGCCAAAGCCACCCCTCCGAGCAGAGCTGCTGACTAGCCTCTCCAACTCAGAGCGCATTGCTGCTGGGAAGAAGCGTGCTCTCTTGGCACCTGCTGCCTCCCTGGCCTGCCCAGCTCTTGGCAGCATGGGGGTTACAGCAGACCGGCAGAGCAGGACAGTGGAAGGAGCCAAGGCACTAGGCTCTTCTAGAGAAGGGGCTATCACCTTGCGCAGTATTAGCTTCAGACCCATTCACGATGCATTAATAATACTGCAGCAGCACACAAAACAGGTTTGGGGGCTACAGAGGCAGCTCCTTCAGCAAAGGCACAATGCAAAAGCGAAAGGAAAGGAAAAGCAGAGATTCACACTGGGCTTCACCTAGCCCTGAGCTCCAAGAGGCCAGGAGCTTCTAATATGAGGTAGCAGGCTTCTACATTAACGTGGGACAAAGGTACCATGGAATCCATAAGGCATTTGCACTGGGACTTCTGCGCGGCCCAGTTCTCTGAAGGTCTCTGCATCCAGGACAAGCAGGAAAGTGTTTTGGTTCTACAGAATGAAAGACAGCAAGAGAAATGGCAGTGCTGGGTTCCACTCTGCCTTCCCATCCCCAACGCATCTCCTACTCCACAAGGAAGAGTCTGTCTGCACAGCAAGACTGCTCAAACCAGTACCCAAGACGGTGAGCCAGACCCAGTGCTACTCAGACATATCCTTAAAGCAGCTTTGACTCTGGAAACTAGGCTGCTATTTGGAATCTGATGCTCTGCTGAGATTGACAATTGCAGAGGATGTAGTGACTGCAAATAAACTCAGCAGTACAGGGACTGGAAAACAGATGAGCATGGGGAATAAAGTGTTGGGATTGCCCTCTCGAGGGCACCAAATCCAATTCTATGATTTAAAAGCCATACAACAATTTCTTGCTACTTGTGAGACGTGAGAATGAGTTACCTGCAAGGGTGTGACCACTACAGACAGAATGACCCCACTGTCTTCTGCAGTGGCTTTAGGAACTGGCACAAACACGGGCTCCGAAGGGTAGAATCCATCCTCTTGCCAAATCTATCAGGCCAAGAAAAAAAAAAAAAGAGAGACAGAAGAGATGCACTTTATTATGATTTAGATACTGCTGATATCCAGAGACCTGAGTCAGGATCAAGGCCCATTTGTATTGTCCAGAAAGGCAGAGACACCTTGTGCCCTGAAGAATTTACAATCTAAGGCCCTGATCCTGCAACTAGCTCCACACAGCTGGACCTACTGAAGTCAGTAGAGCTCCATTCAGGCAGATCTCTGTGCCTAAGATGAACCCGTTTATTTCCAGCCCATGACTAGCTGATCATCAAGGTTTAGAAAATCCCTTCAATGCTGAAGAGTCTAAAAGTCGTCTGTAAATCTAGTAACACATGCTGTTGCTATATTCAAGTGTTTGTTTTGTGGCAGTCATTCATTTTAAAGGTCACATGCTTATTGGTACACTTGTACCTATTATCAAGAGTTCTTGGCAACTAAACATACAAGCGATTCAAAAAAAAAAAAAAAATGAACCCCACTGACTTACTGGAGCTGCCTACACATTGCTCCCTGCAGGATTGGTCTAAATTAAGACAAGATGCAACAAGTGGGGACAGCAAACTAGTGGAGGGAATGCAGAAGGGAACAAAGGGGGCATAGACCAGCTCTGGGCATAGTGAGATACTTCATTCACAGATGGATTTCGCTCTGTTTTTCAGTGACAGCACATCAATAAAGCAGCCCTGAGTGTCCCCATCTGGCCATCATCCAAGGTGAACAAGAAGTCAAGCATTTCCCATTCTCACCACACCTACTGGAGCTAGATAAATCAAGAGCAGGACTGAGACAGACATTTTCCCACTGGTAGATAAAGAGAAGAGTAGCATTAAAGAGAGGACCACAACTGAGACATCCCCTCCAATCTTTCATATGCACAGTGTCACTACTTACCCTAAATAGGAAAGGGTCATTTACTGAACACTAAAGGATTGTGAGAGTTTTCAAAAGCATGATCAACATTACTATTCATTATTTCTGTTCCAGCAGCATCTCAAGTTCCCAGCTGAGATTGATGCCCTATTATATGAGGCATTGTACAAACACAGTGAGAAACAGGCCCTGCATCAAAGACAGGCTAAATAGACAAGCAAGGCACAGGGTGGATATTGAGTCATGAACTGACTTGCCCAAGGTCACACACCAGGTCAATGGTAAAGCCAGCAACAGAACACAGGTCTCCTCTATCCCAGTCCAATGGACCACCCGGCTGCTTCTAACATAGACCACCTGGCCATTCCTAACACAGAAACTGTTATGATCTGCAGGAGGATCTTCTGGATTCTAGTTTCTAATCTGATGTTTGCTTTTAAAATAGGAATTCTTTATAAATGCAGCAGCTAGCCCAAGCCTGCACCAGGTTTTTCTAGGTCCTGTAAAATTTGCTACAACCATTAAGACATTGCCAATCCCTGTAGTACAGGGAGGGTAACTGAAACTAACTCGTCTGTTTTGATTTCAGCAATAACATAAAGGGGAGAAAATGTTTGCTAAATAAAAAAGCATCAATTAGTAGAGAGATCACCTTTCCTTTTCTGAAAGCTGTTAAAAACAGTAAGGAAAGTAAGAGATGTACTTGAGTGTACTAAAAATCATGAAGTCATTACAGCTTAAATATTATTTGTTAGTGCTCTGGTGGGTAGGGCACTGATCTCTTGCCAGCTCTGCCACAGATTTGCTCGATGACCTTGAACAAGTTTCTTCACTTCTTGTTCATCCCCCTCCCTTCTTCGGTCTTGTCTATTCATCAGGGCTGGGACTCTCTCTCAGAGAGAGAGAGAGAGAGAATGCGCATGTGTGTACAGTGCCTAGCACAACGGGATCCCGGTCTCAGTGGGGCCTCTGGACACTACAGTAATACAAATAATCACTTAATGAACCATTGTTGCAAAGCCAGGATGGACTGAGCCCAACAAGGGTTTCTTCCTGCACAAAGTGAGCCTTTTCAAAAACCTGTGATATTTAGCGTTTCCAGAGGCTTTTCCCAGCCAGATTATGACAATCTGGAAAGAGAGCAAATTTTCAGGGAGAAGTCTTGACCATTCCTGTAGTGTTCAATAAAGAACTTGCTCATGTTTTTAAAGCTTGGAGAAATCTTACATAAAAAGGGAGACACCAGAATAACTACTTTGGGTTTAATTCATATCTTTCATCATTTCAATGCCTCTGTGGGAGGACATTCTTATTTCACCATAAACATGCCCCTGTTGTGATTTTGCCTAAGGTAATTCATTCCAATTAAAGCTAAATCAAAACAGGATGACTTTCTTCTAAAATAAGAATCCACGCACAAATTTGCATTGAATTAAACCCAACTGAGGACTTATTTCAGACAAACCCCAACTCCCTTTGGCCCCTCAGCCTATTAGTGTTGACAAGGAAATACTGGTCTGGGGTTTAAACCCACCAAAGCAGGAAAACACTTGTGGCTGCCACAGCCCCATTATGCCACTCAAGGTCCCACATCACAGGCCTAGAGATTAAGATCTGTCCCAGTGAGGTATAGTATAAACTCTGCCTAGTCACATACTGCACACTGGTAGGGCAGAACACCCTAGCTTTATGTTCATTGCCCCAGATCCCAAAAGCCTGAATTCCAAGTGCCCTGGAAGCATCACCTCCACATTGTGAGTTTCACTGTATTTTTAGAGTCATAAAGCTTAAGGCCAGACAGGCCCACCAGATCAGCTAGTCTGACCTCCTGTATATCACAGGCCACCAGCACCACTCAGCGCCTACACACTGAACCCAACAACAATCTTTTGGTACACACATTTCTGGTGCTGTGTTCATTGTGATAATGTGGCGGCACACCCTTTAAGATCTTCTTGATCCTGTCTCCATACCCAAGCCCCCTTCCCCTGCCCTGGTCTGTCCAGAGACCCAGAGATGTCTGCTTCTTGTGTTAGAGTGTCACATTCATGCAGTGCAGGGCAGAGAATGGAAGTGCGGGCCCAACCCCAGCCCCTCTGTTAAATAGATCCCAGTGCTGATGAGTGACAGTGCTGCCTGGGCTGCAGGAAGTCAGAAAACTCACAACAGCCAGTTCACAGGCCGAGTCATTGAATGGGGACAACTCCAGGGTCTTAAAGACTGTGTCTCACCTTCATTTTCTTGGTTTCTGTATCCATCTTGATCAGCGAATCCCCCACCAGGTGCTGAAAGCCGCAGCCATAGAAGAAGCGGTACTTCCTGCCGTTGCACCGTGAGTAGTTAATCTGGGGGAACTCCAGGCCCCCTACCTCCTCCAGGTCCTCGGAGTGGAGATTTTCATGCATGCACCAGACCTAGGGCAAGCAACAGAGCACAGGAGTGTTACTGAGCCTGACCTGGAACAAGTGCTTCAATGCGGAACTGGTCTCATACACATGCTACACAGCTATTACAGGGAAGATGAAATGTTTGGCTTTGTTCCCTGGACACCTCTAGCCAGCCCATCTCAGAACCATGCTGGCTCCCTTATCCACTCCACCCAAGGAAAAGACTTACAGCATTCTGGCGTTTCAAAAAGGTCCATAAGGCTGAGCTATGGGGGAAAGCCTCCATACCAGCATCAGCACTCCAATGTATTGTACAGCACCTTTCAGCTTGCAGGATCCTAAAGCACTTGACAAGCTGATCCAGGGATTACTCCTCCACCACTGAGATGACTCCACCTCTGGGGCTATGTCTACACTGCATAGTAAGCCCAGGTCTGTGGGACCTGGGCTTGCAGACTTGGTGTGTCTGAGTCTGTGCTTGAGCATCCACATTGCACTGCAAACCCGGGCCTCCCAACAGTGTTAACATGTCCATACAGCTCTACACAGACCTGAGTCAGCCCTTCTGCTTCTGGGTGGAACACGGGAACTGATTAACCACCCACTGCAGCACTACACAACAATTTAGAGAAGGAGGCTAAGAGCAATCTTGTATCCAACTGAAAATGCAGGGTGAATTTTGGGATCAAAAGACAGAATTTGGTCAGTTACACCAGGGCTAACACCCCAACTCATTCCAAAAGTGCCACAGGGGCTTTAGTGACCATGTGTGGTCAGGATCTTGGTTCTACATCTCATCTAAAAGATAGCATCTCCAGCAACACAGTGCCAGGGCTTTGTACTGACTTCCATCCAAACACAGAAAGCCTGATTCTGCTTAGGTGGCAAGATCTAAAAAGATCACAGGACAATACAATACGGGTGCACACAACCTTCAATGTAGTTATTTATGCCTGTAAGACGTACCGTCCCATCCGCTTCTTTCACAGCACTCGCTGATGTGTAGGGCAAAGGGCTGAGGTTCTGCCCCGTGGGCATGCTTGAATCCACATTCAGGGGTAGAACAAAGCGGCGGGGGAAAGCTCTGGCTGACGAGTTATAGATCTGTTAGAAAGAGAGGAAGTTACAGGGAGAGAGAGAGAGCTGAACAGGCTGGTGAGCTCAGTCCCCGGGGTGGGACATCTCGACTTTCCCCCCAATTCCAAGGCTACCTGCTCTCTGATTATTTGTATTAGCATAGCACCTAGAGGCCCCACACTGAGGTTGGGGCCCCATTGTACCAGGCACCATACAGACATAGTGAGAAATAGTCCTGCCCGGGAGAGCTCACAGTCTAAATAGATAAGTTTCAGAGGAACAGCCATGTTAGTCTGTATTCGCAAAAAGAAAAGGAGGACTTGTGGCACCTTAGAGACTAACCAATTTATTTGAGCATGAGCTTTTGTGAGCTACAGACACACAAAGAATGGGAGGGGAAACCGGCACAGAGAGGGGTAGTGCCAAGTTCACTCAGCAGGTCAGTGGCAGAGCCAGGAATAGAAGCTTGGTCTCCTGACTCCCAGTCGACTGTCCCATCCACTCTGCCTCTCCCTCCTACCCAGCACTTTTTATTCCTTCCTCCTGGCCATTCCCCTGGCCCTTCCTCCCACACCCTTCCTTGGCTTAATGTCATTGTTACTTAGATACAAGTTTACAGCTTCTAAAACAATGAAACATTCTCATTTTGCCCACGATAAGAATCACCCACAAATCAATGAGACCAACTAACTCCAGGGACCGTAAAGCTCCCTCTGCATTTCCCAGCCTTCAGCTCAGCCAGCCTGGGATCAGCAGGTCCCATACAACAGACACAGAGACAGGGGCTTTACCTGATCCAGACCCTCCCCAGCTTTGCGCAGGTTTTGAAGCTGGTAAATATGCAGGTTCCCTTCACCATCCTGGCAGCAGAGGTCAAGGACCACACAGCCCTGATCTTCAAAGGCATTGATTTGATGGAAAGTAGCAAATGGCTTGCTGTAAAACTGCCCTGGAAGCAGCTGCAGTGAGACAAAAAACAGCTTTGTTTCCTGCCTCCAGCAATCTCTTTGGCTAGATTCATCCAGTACTACAAATTCATCCAGTACTACAGAGTCCCATTTTCCCTTTCCATTTCTCCAGTCACACTTTTCGCACCAGTTTTTCTTAGACCCCAGCAGAATAACAGCTTCACAGCCAGTTATGGGCAGAACCAGATTCAGGAAATCTGGAGCCCAAAGCACACCATGACAAGGGCCCCTCCCACCATGCACCACCCCCCACCTGGAGTGGCAGTGGAAAGGATCCCTTCTCACGCCCCAGAGAAGTAGGGACAGTGGCCGCAACACCCACATGGCACCTCCTGGGGAACTGTCACACTCCTCACCCTACACCTGGATCCCCACGTGACTTGGCAGGTACATCTCAGCCCTTGTACCTGCAACTCCAGGACTGCTTCCCAGGAGCCCCTAACTGCCTGTTGATCACCATTCTTTTAAGGTTTCTGAGTAACAGCCGTGTTAGTCTGTATTCGCAAAAAGAAAAGGAGTACTTGTGGCACCTTAGAGACTAACCAATTTATTTGAGCATGAGCTTTCGTGAGCTACAGCTCACTTCATCAGATGCATACCGTGGAAACTGCAGCAGACTTTATATACACACAGAGAATATGAAAGGGGCAGCGTAGGGATTTCTTGCATTTACCTCTGCTCCAGCACCTAATAACTCCTCATCCAGGAGGCCTAACCATTCCCTGGTTTTCAAGCCAATACTGCGGTAGTTCCTGGACTGACCCATACAGCCCAGGTTGCTGCTGCCAAAAGCCAGGGGCATTTCCTGTGGGCTCTAAGATTGACTGATCAGGAGAAATCTAGGCCTGCGTACCAGCTTGAATGGCAGAAGATTTACCTCTCCCGTGTGCTTATTCACCACGTGGAAGCGGGTTTTATACTGCGGCTCCCAGTTTATCCCATCAGCAATGGGCTTCCCCAGGAGCTTGGATGTGATGACCTGAAACAGATTAATCTTGATGGGCTGCTCAATGAAGATCACGTAGTTCTCACTCATTCCTGAATGGACAGAAGCGGGAAATCAAAACATTTTACTCCAAAAGGCAAATAAGGTCACGAGAACTGCTGGGAGCACGGGTGAGTGAACAACCTGCCTCTGCTACTAGAAGCCAGTATGGCAAGTTGTAGCTTGTAGACTGTGTGCTGGATCTGCATGCAGAGGGCCTAGTAGAGGATGGGAGGCACCTCACCAAAGCTGTGATAGTAGGAGGGTTTCATCTTCTCCGCTGGAGCGATGGAGCACAGAACTTTTGCTCCCTGTAACGTGTCATTGTGGTTTGACTTCTGCGGAGGAATCCGAATAATGTTATAGCTGGAACCTGGAAAGGAGAAACAGTGTCCATCAGCCCAGAGACCCAGGATTGACCCAGTCAGCACTTCAGGGCAGGCACCAAACAGGTCTGTGCATTAGCCCTCTCCGTGTTCAGAGTCCTAATGGGTCAGTCTTCAGATACAAGACATGCCAGATGAGATTTTCAAAGCAAACTGGGGGATTTAACCACACAATTCCCACTGGAATAAATCCCCCAGCCAGCTTTAAATATTTCAATCACCCACCCCTGAATCCCATCAGGTGCTGACAATAAATCCCAGCTAATGAGCTCTTAAAGCTTTGGCTAGATTCATCCAGTACTACAAATCCCCACTTCCTGTGGAGCACACACTCATGCCTTCTCCTTTCAAACAGTCTTCCTATTTCTTTTATTTATTGGGCACAAGGCAATGAAAGCTCCTCTCTAGCCATGCGTTCAAGTTCTCCCAAACCCATTCCTTCTGTCACAGTATACAGGCTGGCCAGAGCACGCCAGTTTGAGATCAACACAGAATGGCAATTCTTTGATTGTCCCAGGAGAATACCATGTTGACAAATACATTTTATGAACAGGAGCTGCAGTGTTAATGCCTGACCATACCCTGACACATGCTGAAATTCAGATTCAGTTCACAGCAGAACCCAAACCCACCCCCACTTCTCTATCCACCTGCCAGGGGCGCCATTTCAGATTTGGGTAGGGGGAGGCAACTTTAACTGGGATTCCAGGGGCTACTTAGGCACCTGAAAATTCTAGGGTTTTGTTGCCGATAATAATTTAGAAATTAGCTAACAGGAGCACTGTACCTAATTCCTATATAAAAAAGAGGATTAAATAAATTAGACCCACTCGCCTCTAATACTAACATGTTCTCACATCTTGTGTCAAATCACTTAAGGGACACCCAGGGTAGGTTTAAAATTGTAATGTATATTCTCTGTTACTAACTCTTAAATACAACAATTGTAGAAAAATCTAGATGACTTTCTACCACTTTTTTGCAGTTCATCAAGCTTGGAATAGATCATTTAACTTTGGAAACATCCTGCTAGGGCAAGGCCCCATGAGTTTATACTGCACCTGCCTCACTACAAATAATGGACTAGAAACTAACCTTAAACAGGAGTGAAACTGACACTTTCCAGTTACTTTCACTGCCAATCCCAAATGTTCAAAATCATGAATCAGGCTCACCAGAAATAAGATTGGCTTTACAATCATGAGATTATGTAAAAATAATAGTGTTTTTTTAAATTTGGTGTTAAAATGGTGTTTTTTTTTAAATTTGCCTTCTGCTTTTTGAGCCTTTAGGGTGCACTGGGTCACATTCTGAATCTTTCCACAGCCATGAGGGCTAGAAACTTCATTTTTCTTTAAGAATAAAGGCTGAAACCATCACATATCCACTTGACTCCAGGAGCTGAGGCTTTAAGGAAAACAATTAGCATGAGATTCTTGACAAAATCATTAGAGTTGGCAACACTGCTTTTACTTCTGTTTAAAGGCTAGTTACTTTCCAGAAGGCTCTTAAGCACAGCACTACAGTGACTGAGTTGCAGTTCTCACAGGAGAAGATTTAAAACCAAACACCAAGAAAATTTTGTATTTTAAAGTTGAGAAAAAACCTAACGCTTCTGAGGTAGCTCAGGGCCACTACAGGCAGGAATGGAAAATAATCAGGCACAGGAGCTCTGGGCAGCTCTTCCTCTAGAAAGAAAGTTGGAGAGTCAAATCTTCTAGTCCTTAATCCAGTAAAACTTCTACTCCCCCCATGGACTTTCTGTATGACCTCAGGCCAGTGCCTTAGGGACAGAATTTCAAAGGTTTTTAGGCACCCAAAGATGCAGCTAGGTTTACAAAGGACCTAACCTTCTAGGTGCTTATGAAAATCCCACTAGGTGCCTAAATGCCTTTGAAAATCTGGCCTTTAGTTTCTCTGTGCCTCAGTCCCTGATCTGTACAATGGGGATAATAGCCCTGCTCTACCTCACCGAGGGGCTGTGAGGATAAATAGGTTAGACCTTGTGAGGCACTCAGATACTGTGGGCCACAGGGTAAAGTAGGAAGTTCTCTATAAAGTGAGCTATAGCTCACGAAAGCTTATGCTCAAATAAATTGGTTAGTCTCTAAGGTGCCACAAGTCCTCCTGTTCTTTTTGCTCTATACTACTGCTATCCCTTCCCCTGATTTTGATCCCTTTTCACTTATGCCCACAAATCTCACCCTTTTCTTAACATAACCTTGGCTCAGAGGACTTGGCTGTATTTTTTCTGAGTCCCCTGCGTTCCCTCTAAAACAGCTTCGCCCACTCCCAGGGATTCCTGTTTTACAGGTTTCAGAGTAGCAGCCGTGTTAGTCTGTATTCGCAAAAAGAAAAGGAGTACTTGTGGCACCTTAGAGACTAACCAATTTATTTGAGCATAAGCTTTCGTGAGCTACAGCTCACTTCATCGGATGCATTCATCTGTTTTACAGGCTAGACTTCCAGATCCTTAATTTAATCACCAGCCCTTTCTTATCTCTTATCTTAGTCACCCTGCTTCTGTTTGTAAACAAAATACTGACTCCCTGCCCCAGGGGCACATCTCCTCTGCAGAACTTACATTTCACACTAATTATGTGCTGTAGTTAAGAATTCCACCTGAGAGCTTGCACACCTCCTATACGAAACTCTCACGTCCCCTCCCCACTTATGGGCGCCCCTGGCACCTGCCCCCATGCTGAAATCTAGGCACAACTTCCAGCCCCAGAACAGGGGGTCCCATTGGATTCCTTCATCCATTACAGCAGCAATTTCTTCTGACTTGTTCCAAGTCTCACTAGTGGCCATTTCCACATAGCTATTGTCAGGCTCTGCTGTTTTCTCTGCCTCATTAAGAGAGTTGGAGCCACAATGAGCAGATAACAAAAAGCCAGTTTCCTACTACAGGGCCTCAGTCAGAGGAACTGGAATCAAACCTAAGCATTTGTACTAAGCTCATTATCACAACATCTGAGCACCCACAACAATGGAATGAGGACTCAAACCAACCTCACAGCTCCTGGGTCAAAGGGAGAAACTAGAATTCTGAGTCCAGGTGAAATTTAATGATGTTTGTCTACGGAATCTGATCCCCGCCCAAGTGGGATTGATGGCTTGGTAACTCAGCCATCACGAGGCATGTGCTGTGCATGATCCTGTGGGGGAATACGAAGCTACATGCTGCTGAAGCACAAAGGAATTAGCACAGCAAGAATGAAAGAACAGCAAAGCCAGGGAATTGTTCCGTGAATTGGTGCAAGCTAACAGTGTCAGATATAACAACACGGGGTATTAGCTGCTTTCTCTGGGCTGAGGCACACTGGGGAGGAATGTCTTTATGCAAAAAGAAATTAAAGTTGGTTTTGAAGAGCCACTCAAATAGGGTCATGGTTTTGCACAATATCTTCCTAGTATTGGAAAATCTGCTACAGAAACTGATCCCACCCTAACCCCTGGCTGCAGAGGACAAAGGATGGGGATCAATCCTGGCACCTCAAGTGCAAGGGAATATGGACTAATAGGTTTTCTACCACCACACTCCCCCATCTGTAGGAATTGACAAATTGGATCTCACAAGTGGTCTGTCTAGTCCACTATTCCAGTGGCCAGTACTGGCTGCTTCAAAGGAAGATTCAAGAAGCCCTGCAGTTTTGGGACAAATTGCCACCAGGGAGGTTTCTTCCTGTCCCCCAGTAATCAGAGGTTGGCTCATGCCCCGAAATATTGGGGTTTATCTCTCATCCAGAGCTCTTGGTTATTTTAATCCTTGCTATTCTAAATCTTCTTGTTATCCATAGAAATGTCCTGTTCTGAAGCCTGCTAAGCTTTTGGCCTCATAGTCATCTTCTGGCAATGAGTACTACAGGCTAAATGGACATGACTGTATTTAAAAAAAAATTAATCCAACTGTGCCAGTGTTTAGTCCTTTCAATAAACACCTTTATTCAGGTTTGTTTCTGACAGCTGTCCTACATCAGTTTCACACTGTTTCATAACTGGGAACTGCAGAGAGAGTAGCTACAGCGCTGCAGATTTGGGGGTGATGCTTGAATGTGCATAATTTGGCACAACTGAGAATAACTAGCAAGGAGTGGAGTACTTTTGGCACCTTAGAGACTAACCAATTTATTTGAGCATAAGCTTTCGTGAGCTACAGCTCACTTCATCGGATGAATGCATCCGATGAAGTGAGCTGTAGCTCACAAAAGCTTATTCTCAAATAAATTGGTTAGTCTCTAAGGTGCCACAAGTACTCCTTTTCTTTTTGCGGATACAGACTAACACGGCTGCTACTCTGAAACCTAGCAAGGAGTGGGGATTTCACTATAGTGTCCAGGAAGGGTCAATGCACTCACTCTACTGCAGGCTACTGCCCTCATAATAATTTTTCTCTTCCCATAAGGAATGCTTGAAGGCCCCAACCCAAAGCCCATTTAAGTCAATGGAAAAACTCTCACTGATTTCAAAAGGCCTTAGATTCAGCCCTGACACTTTATGTAACTTCCTTAAAAAGCATCCTCTCTCTACCAAACTGATCCACATGTGTGCATGACACATCTCATCCCTACCCAGGGCAGTGCCCTGAGCGACTTCCTCACCGCTCACAGAAAGGTCTGTGCTCACTGGGATGAGGCAGTCACCCAAATCACATTACCTGAAGAGGCCAAACATTAAGAGAACAAATGTCATGGTGAGATTGACGGCAGCCACAATTTAAGACTGATTCTGCTTTGCTGTCATTGTGTCCCACAGAGAAATGGGAGCTTCCTCACTTTGTTAGACTCCACCAAAAACCCCTCCTTACAGAAGCAGCATGTAGTCTGCCTAGCCACCCGCAGGACTGGCCCTACCTCACCCCACCCTGCTTCCCAGAGCAGTTACCCTGCCTAGCCTCACCATGTTTCCCATAAGAGTTGCCCATGTTGTATGCTGTCCCATCAGGCTCATAATGTGGATGGGCTGTTGCTCCATTCACCACAATGAATTTGCTCCAATCCACCTGCAAATTCAAAGATTTTCAGAGTCAGAGCAGGAATCACTTCCAAGCAGCAGCCATAAGCCAAGAAGCAGAAAGTCACATCCTTACATTCCTTCTAAATTATATCAAAACAATATAATATCAGGCAGTTAAGAAGGTGCCCCTCCTAATAGTACCCACCATCACCAGATAAGCAAGGAATCTCTTTAAGATGTTTTAAGAAAACTTTGCTTGATAGCATTCTCTCTGGCAAGGAATCACTTATCAACAGTTGTGATTGTGAAATTAATACTTCTATTGTATTGTCTTTATGTATTGTCCCTACTTCTCTATTGTTTATCTGTATGGTCTCTGTCTCGTTCTTTGATTGTTTCTGTTTGATTGTTGCATAACTAATTTTGTAAGATTTAAGTCAACTAAGGTGGTGGAGTATGATTGGTTAAAGAATTATTTCGCAATATGTTAGGATTGATCAAAGAATTATTTTGTAATACTTCAGTAAAAATGACTGGTGAAGGTACAGTTAAGCAGGACTCAAGTTTCACTATATAAACTGGGATCCAAAAGAAAGTTCTTTGGAACGAACTCCAGGACACAGCCCCAAGATCAGAGCTGCAAGACCTCAATACCCTGCCAATCACACCATGCAGAAGCTGGAGTCCTCAGATGACCTGATCCTGACTGGCCAGCAGGAACAGTTCACCTGCCTTGTTGGGAGTGGTGAGCATTGTATGCTTAGTGTGTGCGTTCTGTTTTGGTGACTGTTAATAAATAGAGGTTAAGGATTACTATGTAAGGCTCTTTCAGTGGTAAAAGACCCCATAAACCCACAAAAGATTACGCCCTGAGCAAGCGTAGGTGCCTTTCCGCTGAAGCCCTAGCAACAGGGAAAGGGTCGGGGTACCTAAATTAACCGAGTTATGCCTTGAGCCCTAGGAACTGGGTAAAGTTGGGTGCCCTAGTATGCAGGTAACACTATAATTTATAAAGCAATAGTACCTGGGCACTACTCAAGGCCCAGGGCATGTGAAGGAGGGTTGTCCAGTGTTCAGGACACTAATTGAGGACTTGGAAAACATGGATTCAAGTCCCTGCTCTTCCAGAGACGTCTTGTGTGACCTTAGCCTCTCGGTGCCTCAGTTCCCCATCTGTAAATCGAAGATAAAAGCACTCACAGGGATGATGTTTGGATTAAAGCTTAAAGAATGTGGGGTGTGTCGAAACCCCAGTAATGGAGCCATATAAGTACCTAAGATAAAGATGGCCCCATTGTGCTAGGTGTGTCCAGGCATGCAATTAAAAGACAGTCTCTGTCCCAAAACTATCAGTTCTATTGCAAGCAGACAGAGACATTTGGTAACTGGTGTGTTTTCTTCAAACACCAATATAGGCTATGCAAAGATGCAACAGAGTTTAATATTATCTACAACTAAAGATTTTCTGGATAGCAAATGTTGTAGCAAAGGTCCCATGCACAACTTAATTCTAATTCTTTCTTCATGTGCTCATAAGTGTTCAGAATTCTCCTTTGTGGCTGCAACTTTCTATGCTTAGACTTAGTCAAAAGGTGAGTCTCTTAGGGAGAAAGTCTGATGGAAATGCACTGAAATGTCCAAGTGTGAAAAATACACTTCTCAGCCAAGATTTTCAAAAGTGACTAGTGATTTTTGGCTTCCCAACTTGAGACACCTGAAAGGGCCCAGATTTTCAGAAAGTGCTGAGTGTTCACCCTCTGAAAATCAGGCTCTTTAAGGTGTCTTGAGTTAGGCACTCAAAAATTCAGGGCCCCAATTTATTAGCCACTTTTGAAAATATTAGTCCACCTCTTTAAAAATGGCTGATGAGAATTTGTATGTCCGGGTGTCTCCACTTGGCTGAACTTTACCACTGAAACCACCCCCATGGCATCACTTCACTGGGTAATAGTCCCTGGCAAGGGTTGAAATAGGTATTATGCAACCACCAAAATCAACTTTGTTGGACACATGCAGCACGAAATGGCTGCTAAGCTTAGAATTTCCATATGGCTTGCAACTATGGCACACAGTGAATACACGAGAGCTCTAACAGAGTGTTGGGTAGGTGTGGCTTTGTGCTGCTGTTCCGCCACAAAGGAGAGTTTGCCTAGCTCCCAGCTCCGTGCAGCTGTAAACCGTCACAGTAAAAGCAGCCGCAGTTTTTAATCAGTTTCTCCTGTTCTCTCCTTCCTTGTGTTTTTCCCCCTCTTTTCTATTTTCTCAAAAAGCCTATGAAATTAACATGCCAACTAAATCTTTAGGAATGGAGCATTAAGGTTAGAAATGTAGGCCATGATTCTGCAAGCTGTTCCAGGTGGGCAGATCCCTGCATTCTTGCAGAATCCCCTGGAGTTAATGCAGCTGTGCACAGAGCAATTTGCAAGATCAGGGCTTTAATCTGATGTAAACGCCACAAAATGGCAGAAGACAGCAGACAGCTTAATCTGAAATGCAACAGCACATTCGGTGATATGCAGTTGAACAGCATGTAGGCTAGTGCACAGGATGAACACAATGGGGAGGTGGGGTTAGCCAAGAATTCAAGGAGCATGCCGGGGTAGGGCTGGCTTGGAGTTGGGACAGGTTGAATGAGATGAGGGGAGCAGATTGGGTGGGACCATGGGGTAGGGCAGAGCATAGGCAGGAGTGGAATTCTGTAAGAGTATTAACATCGAAACCTTGATGTTACATGGGTATATATTTTTGCATTTCCGTACACTGGAATTGCCAGACAAGACCAGATCCTGCACTTTATGAACAGTGACCAAGTTGCGAGGGACCCTGCTATACCCTTGGTTGAAAATATAACTGACGTGAGGAGTCCTCCAGTCTAACCCTGCCTGCTGCCAATGGCTGTGACTGGACCTCAAGCATGGCAGCTGCTTTACTATTCACCTCGATCCTGCAATGCCCTCCAGCACATGCACCACAGAGGGATTTTTAAGACCATGGGGTGACTGGCAGTGACTGTAGATTTCCTGGCAATTCCAGTATCTGCCACAGAGAAGTCATTTTTGCCAGGAGAGAGAGGTACAGAGGATCTCAACAACAGCCATGGATTCTTACCATGTTGGACATGCAGGTTGGACACAAAGACCAAGAGGGTCTTTGGGAATTGTCCCCACTAGCTGCCAAGGCCATCCTGGGAACAGTGTGACATGATTCCCCCACGCCAGGTGCTAAACCCGTCATCCCACCCACTCTTTACCTTCTCCTTGGTTTCCAGGGTTTCTGGATCCACTTTCTGCATGAAGTTGGTCTCGGTGCTGACATAATAGTCTCCCTTGTACACCACGTAGTTCACATTGGAGTTATCCGTTGGCCCTGAAACAAAATCCGAGAGTAATGCAGATGCATTAAGCTCACATCTCACTACAGCAAGTTAGGCATATTTAAACAAATAAACCAGTTTTCCTAATGACACAAATCCCTTTCAGGACAGACAGGACAGATTAAAACCATCTGGCCAGCAGGACCTGGTTACTTGACAGCCTTAGAGTGTGAGTGCACCTCACATTGCTGTGTCTGCACTGCACAGTTGACTCAGTCTGAGCACCTGAGCCCAGGTGTAAGCCTCCCCTCTGCAAAGTCCTACCCACATTACATTGTCCTCCTTGTTTCTGCACTCACCTGTCTCTCTCTGCAGGCCTACAGCAGGGTTTTATACATAATACTTAGTCCTGCCTTGAGTGCAGGGGACCGGACTAGATGACCTCTCGAGGTCCTTTCCAGTTCTATGATTCTATGGTTTTCTTTCTTTTCTATCTCAGTGATCTATAGCAGCACACAGGGCTCTACCTATGCAGGTGAGTTCATGCCAAAGAAAAGACTTGTTTTTAATGCAAACTGAAGAAATCTGATTCCTTTTGATTCAGGTACTACTAAGTCATTGTGCAGGCTCATTTCAGTGTCTTGCAACTAAAGGAAACCAATGATATTACAAACGGAATGCAGACCTGAGGGAAAGGCAACCCCTGGCGAGGGCTGAGATATTCTTTATTATAAGGCCAGACAACCAGTTGCCAGTATTTTTCAGAAAGCATGAGCAGAGAACCCAGATTGCACTCTGTACAGGAGGCCAGGTCAGCAATGTAAAAAGCAGAAGCAGGCCCCATAGTGGGACAATGCCATTCAAATTCAATGCAAGGGGCATTGTCCCATCACTTGGGACATTAATTGGACTGGACAAAATAACAGGAAATGTACAAAAGGGGATTATCTGTCACTGACTTCTAATGGGAGTGCAAGGGGAATTGATTGGAGGAGACCTGGGAGGCATTTTCCTTCTCTTAACTTCACTAGGGTCTTGTCTACACTAGAGAAGAAATCAGTTTGTAACTGAACTGGATGCACTGAAACAGTTTAAGACAAACATTTCAGCACCAACATGTGAAATAGATTTGTTTCACCCTGCACTCAAGCTAGCATTGTCCTAAACCATTTCAGCTGCAATGTCCTCTGGATATCTAGCCTACAATTCCTAGCTGAGCTCCTGGACGCATTCTAGATTGCAGAAGGCTATCAAAATGAACCAGTGGCTCTTTGACTGGTTATTAAACCCACTGACAGATGGCCTGTTGTAATTATTTATTAGAGCAGGTAGGGCATTTCTAGGTATGGACACAAGTGTTCTACAAATGTTCTAGAGCAGTGGTTCTCAAACTAGGGCTGCCGCTTGTTCAGGGAAAGCCCCTGCCAGGCCGGGACGGTTTGTTTACCTGCCGTGTCTGCAGGTTCAGCTGATCGTGGCTCCCACTGGCCGCGGTTCGCCGCTCCAGGCCAATGGGGGCTGCGGGAAGCGGCGCGGGCCAAGGGATATGCTGGCCGCCCTTCCTGCAGCCCCCATTGGCCTGGAGTGGCGAACCACAGCCAGTGGGAGCCGCGATCAGCCAAACCTGCGGACGGGGCAGGTAAACAAACCGGCCCAGCCCACCAGGGGCTTTCCCTGAACAAGCGGTGGCCCTAGTTTGAGAAACACTGTTCTAGAGGCTTTAACCAATTTAATCTCCCAAGTGTAGACCAGACCAAAGGAGCAGTCAGTGGGCCCTGACTGATTTGCAGGGAAGGAATGGGATGCAGGCTGAGCTGCATTTGCTGGTTTCATACAGGTAGCTTTGCCCCTCCTCTGTGCTTCACTCAGGAGATAGAGTAGCAGCCGTGTTAGCCTGTATTCGCAAAAAGAAAAGGAGTACTTGTGGCACCTTAGAGACTAACCAATTTATTTGAGCATGAGCTTTCGTGAGTTAACTATATTTCCTTCAAATGTACCTGAAGCGAATCCTGTGAGTCACCATCCACAAATAACCTGGTTCTATCTAAGCAAACAATACACTATAAATTATTAAGGCTATGATTTTTTCATGGATATTTTTAGTAAAAGTCATGGACAGGTCATGGGCAATGAACAAAAATACACGGAAGACGTGACCTGTCAGTAACTTTCACTAAAAACATCCCTGATAAAATGGGGAGGGAGGAAGGTCCAGCAGTGGGGGCTGGGGAGCTCCCGGGAATCCCCCGCCACCCAAGGGGCTGGGGAGCTCCAGGGAATCTCCCGCCACCCAAGGGGGCTGGGGAGCTCCAGGGAATCCCCCGCCACTCTGCAGGACTGGGAGCTGGTGTGGGCCTGCTGGGAGCTGGGACAGTCCTCCACTGTGGCAGCTGGGCTGCTGCAGGGCCCCAATGTCACGGAGGTCACAGAATCTGTGACTTCCATGACATCCGTGACATACTCATAGTCTTAACTATAATCCTACAGCTAATGGTACGTCCGCTTCGGTGTGCCATCCTCTCTTCACCCATATCTCCCTCCCGCCCCTTACCGCAGGAAGGAAAGGAATAACCTACATACCCTAAAAGCTTAGCAAGGTGTGGGGCTTTCAAGACAGGTTTGTACTAAAACCGGCAGATTGTAAGATGCTCATTACGGCACCCTACAGGGTGTTGCTTGTGAGAGGAGGTGCAGAATTTACACAAACCCTGGAACAAGGTGAATCAAATTTGGTAACAAACCCAAAAGTTAAGTAAATGGCATCAAAGGGACCAATGGCGAGAGGTGCTGAGCTACCAGTGCTCCTGTCAACTTCACCTGGAGCTCTGGGTGCCCCCAGCACCTCTGGAGACCAGGCCCAAGGTGCACAAACAGTGAGCTACATTTCTGATTTTGGGTGGAAACAACATGGGGGGGGGGGGGGAAGGGGAGCCAAAATCCCAAGTTAAGTGTCTATTTCAGCTGAGTTTGGCTTGGAGTTGTTTCTTCAGAGGGGTGATCCCCACAGAAACATGACCACTCAAAGCAAAACCACTAAAACTTCCACACAGCTCCCTTCAAACCTAAAAACTGTTCCTCCAAACAAATATCACCCACTTGGGATGCATACCACCTCCAAAAACATTGCTTTCAACTAAGGAACATACTTACGTGGCATCTCAAACCACGAAATGAAGCGACCAAAGATGCTCTTGCATGGGTCCGGCATAGCCAGGGTTCCAAACTCCGAGACCATGATCCGATTGTGCTGGCTGTTAGTCACATAGGAATCACTCTGCAGGAACTTGCTCCTGTAAGTCACGATGCCATTTTCCAGTTGGAACTGATGCAGCAGGGCCATGCCATCAAACCAATGGTTAAATCTTCCAGCCGAGCAGAGAAACAAAATTACAAGAAGGATCAGTGCAGTGCCGCATCCTCCCACGCCTTCTCCTAAGACCCTGGTGTTTGTTATTATCTGCGCTATAATCTGAGAACCAGATCCTACAAACACTTTTATCATGAAACAACTTTGTGTGTGTCTGTGTGTTTGTGTGTGTGTAAGAGAGCACGAACACAATGGAAAAACTCAAGACATGCAGCTACTCATGTGCCTACATGTTTGCAGGCACAGGGTCCAAGTTTAGAGACAGGCTCAAATTCTCAAAAGCATCTAGGGGTTTGTCTACACAGCAAGCTACAGCAAGTCTCAGACCCCAGGTGCTAAAAATAGCTGTGTAGACATTTGGGCTCAGGCTGGAGTTCAGGCTCTAAAGCCTGGAGGGGGGATGAGGGGCTTCAGAGCCCAAGCCCAAACATCTACCCAGCTGTTTTTAGGATGTATTAGCAGCAGTATTGTAAGCAAGACACAAGAAGTAATTCTTCTTCTCTACTCCACGCTGATTAGGCCTTGACTGGAGTATTGTGTCCAGTTCTGGGTGCCTCATTTCAGGAAAGATGTCGACAAATTGGAGAAGGTCCAGAGAAGAGCAACAAAAATGATTAAAGGTCTAGAAAACATGACGTACGAGGGAAGATTGAAAAATTGGGTTTGTTTAGTCTGGAAAAGAGAAGACTGAGAGGGGACATGATAACAGTTTTCAAGTACATAAAAGATTGATACAAGGAGGAGGAAGGAAAATTGTTCTTTTTTACCGCTGATGATAGGACAAGAAGCAATGGGCTTAAATTGCAGGAAAGGAGGTTTAGGTTGGACATTAGGAAAAACTTCCTAACTGTCAGGGTGGTTAAGCACTGGAATAAATTGCCTAGGGAGATTGTGGAATCTCCATCACTGGAGATTTTTAAGAGCAGGTTGGACAAACACCTGTCAGGGATGGTCTAGATAATACTTAGTCCTGCCTTGAGTGCAGGGAACTGGACTACATGACCTCTCGAGGTCCCTTCCAGTCCTATGATTCTGTGAAGCACAACAAGCCCCATAAGTCTGGCTGTAGACCCAGACTTTGAGACTTGCTGTCACAGGCTGCTGCTTGCAGTACAGATGTACCCTAAGGGTAAGTCTGCACTGGAATAAAAGACCTGCAGCATGGCCATGGCTCTCCCGGATCAGCTGACTCGGGCTCACAGTGGTTGGGCTGCGGGACTAAAAATTGCTGCATAGACCTTTGGGTTTGGGCTGGAACCCAGACACTGTGGCCCTCCCCATACGTGGATCCTGGAGCTCAGGCTCCAGCATAAGCCCAAATGTCTGTGCAGCAATTTTACAGCCCCGCAGCCTAAGCCCATTGAGCCCAAGTCAGCTGACCTGGGCTAGCCACGGGTGTTTAATTGCTGTGTAGACGTGCCCTAAGTGGCTTAAGCGTCTAAGTCTCATTTCCAAAAGTGACTTTCGGCACCTAGAAGCCTGAGTTCCGTTCACTTTCAATGACTCAACCTCCTAAGTGCTTAAGTGTCTTTTGAAAATGGGCCTTAGTGCTTCTGAGAACGTTACCCACAAGCTTTCATGGACTGAAACTATGTTGTTCTACAAAGCCCCTGCATGCTTATGGTGCTGCAGAAATAGAACACAAATTTGGGTTGTCTTCACTAACTCTTAGTGCATGGCAAGCTGGGGTGTAAATCTATCCTCATGAGCCTGCTGTGAGCTGAATGTCTAACCAGTCCCTAGTATGCTTTGGTCTACTCCTGTTTTGTTATTTAAAGCCCCTTGAGCAAGAAACAATCTGGGAGCAATGGGCCAAACTACAGTACTTTGCAGAATTCCATCCCCTCCACAGAGGAGAAGATGCCCTGTGAGGCCTTTTGAAGAAGACCAGTTTTTCAGAGGTAGAACATCAGGTGTGCTAATCTCCATCAGCCACTCTTGCTCCCATCCAGTCAATGTGAAGATGAGCCAGCTCTGTGGGTTTGCTTGAGTGACAGACCATCAGTCAAACACTGGCTTGGGTTCTAACTTGTTAAAAATATAGATCTACATTTTTTTGTTTTGAAATGAAAGAACACCAACCAGTGTGAGGGCTGGATTTGTTTTTATAGCCACATAAACAGCTTAGTATAATCAGGATGGCAAATCATGCCTGGGACTACAGGGTGGGCGTGGGAAGTGGCTGTTACAGACAGAGCACTGGGAGTCAGGATGCCAGGGTTTCATCCCCAGCTTTGTTAGCTCATGTTGTGGCCTTCCGCTGGTCACGGCCTCCTTTAAACTTGGAAAAACACCTTCCTACTTCCCAGGGAGGTCACGAGGATTAATGAATCTGGCTAGTAAAGGTGCTGAAAGCTTCTTGATGAGAGAAGAGTTTGTATTAGAAGAATGGGATCTACAAGCATTTCCTCATGATCACACACCTTCAGAGCTAAGGAAGGCCCCTAATGGCTGTGATGCATTTGTGAAGGTGCCTTCTAGGTTTGACCAACCCCCAGCCTGGAATCATTAGAAAGTACAATCAAATCTGGACTTACTTCTCCTCTCCAAACTCAAACTTCCCAGGCCCATTCCTTAGCAGGCTGCCATTGAGCCACTTTGGAATGTGCCCTTTGACCTTTGTCAGGATGGGCTGAGGAGTCTCTTCCACACTTCTCATGAGTGGCGAGATGCATTGCAAACCCTTCCGGTTGCTGAAGGTGAGCGGCTCCTGTTGTGGGCTCGGCAGAAAGTCCTTTAGAACTGCGAAGAACAAATAAGAAGTTAGAAGACAGCAAGTGACTCAGGCCCTTAGTGCTAAAGGCTACAGACTGACAGCCACCAGCCTAGATATCTGCAAGTTGGGCTTGGAGTTCCATGACAAAAGCATCCTGCAAATAACCAAAATGCAACCGATGTTCAAAATAAAACTCTGCTTCCAGAGTTTCTGTCACCGCCATGGGGATCTGAAAATTCAGTGCATTAAATCTTACCGTGATTAATCCAGCACAGACACCTGCAAGGTGCTTTTGTATGTTGCAGAGAGGGAGGAAATGAACTTTTCAGGAAGACTAAGCTAATATAATTTATTTGAACATGTAACAACAGTGAGACAGACATCTGTTACGACCATCTAGAGACAGAGACTATAATGTGCCCAGAAATAAATATGTTGCAACCTAAATAGAGAGAACACAAAGTGGTGCTTATAGATTCCCCGGAAAACCTCATGCTGAACTCCTCCAAAGGCTCTGCTCTTCCACCAACACCAGTGTAAGAGGATCTGTTACAGAGTCTATGCAGGCACCTAGGTCTCCCCATTGAGTGACGGTCCATTGTAGTACCAGGTGGGCTGGGCACAATACAGGTATGGAAAGCAGTACAGAGGAGCCACCCTAGCACTACTACAGCCCAGACCCAGGCTCAGCCAGCCTGGGAGCAGTGTGCAGGGAACATGCTCAGTCCCAGGGGTTTCCAATCAGTGGTGGGAGGTGATGCATCGGTGCAGGGCAGTACCTCTCAGTCAAGCTCTCAAGGCTTCATTATCAAATGTATTTCTCTGTTCACCTAGATACCTTGGTGATGGGTGCATTAGAAATGCAGAGGAGACCGGACACAGGGGAACCTTTTTATACAGCTTGTTACTTAGTTAACTGGCTCCCGTGGCCCCAGGGTGGCTCTGAACACACACTGTAGAGGCATAAAAAGCAGGAACATACCCCGAGAGAGCAAGATCACTATGTTCATGCCCTAGGGGATACATGCAGCTTGTCAGAGATGCAACAAGTCAGATGTCACACATGACTCAGCAGGTGGGGTGAGGGCACATCTGAGTATCTGCCGGGGACCTGTCCCTCCTTCAAAGTAGGTTAGTCACATCTAGGCAAAAGGCACTTTAGTCCCCTAACAGTCATGCCTGCTACTTGCTTTTGGAAACCAAGAAGAATTAGCTTTGTTTGTAAAAAATAAAACAAACTCTCTGTATAGTTGCTGACTGGGATATGGGATTGGCCACCTCCATAAAAGCCACCATTAGAACAAACAGCCTTCTCTGTTTTTTTGTCATGCAAGACCCCTTTTTAATCGTGGCACCAGCAAATCACCTGCTAGGCGGAAAGTCCCCTGTGCTGCAACAACTGTAGAACAAAGGTCAGTTCATTGCAGGAGCTTCTGCTTCTTAGCAGCTTTCTCCTCTATTTTACAGATCGCATTCTTTCCCCCTTCTGTGGCATTGTTCTCTCTTAAGATTCCTGTTTCTTACCTGCTCTGAGAGCCAGACAGCTTCCCCTCCACTGGGGTGATTCCTGTGTACAGGATTAGATGTTCTGTATTCCAAGTGCAAAAGCTTGACGTGGGACTGAAACAACTCTCCAGAAGAGACCTGGTTGCACAGCATTAGCATGCACCTTTCTGATCCCTGAGGTAGAAGCAGCCAGCCCCATGCCTATGTATTACAGCATCAGAGCTGAACAGTGAATAAAACCTTCTGCAACAATTCTCTTTTCTCAAGATATTTCCATTATACCTGTCACTGTCATATCTGAGCCTTAATTTTTATACCAACCCACGTAAGTGGTTTTGCCATAGACCCAAATTCTCTCTCCTCCCATCATTTCCAGTAAAGTGTTTTTTAAAGAGTGCCTGATTGCAACATCTTACACTGTGAAGGCAACAGTTAGTGTCATGCACAGCAACAGAGAACAAGCTGAACAGATGCCTGGAATGAGATGGACTGTCCTCCAGCTGAAGTCTTTAAATCAAGACCAGACACCTTTCTAAAAGATCCAGTTCCCTTCAACCAGAAGGTATTGTGCTGGATGCAGGAACAGAAATTCTTCAGCCTGCATTATGCAGAAGGACAGAATGGATGATCACAATGGTTTCCTCTGGCTAGGAACTATATATGCAAAAAGATGGGGTTTAAATTAGCTGTTATGACTCAAGAACAAGATCTTGGAGTCATTGTGGATAGTTCTCTGAAAACATCCACTCAATGTGCAGCAGAGGCCAAGCAAAGCTAACAGAACATTAGGAACCATTAAAAAAGGGATAGATAATAAAACAGAAAATATCGTAATGCCACTATATAAATCCATGTATGCCCACACCTTGAATACTGCGGGCAGTTCTTGTCATCCCATCTCAAAAAAGATATATTAGAATTGGAAAAAGTACAGTGAAGGGCAACAAAAATTATTAGGAGTATGGAATAGTTTTCCTACTAGGAGAGATTAAAAAGACTTGGACTGTTCATCTTAGAAAAGAGATGACTAAAGAGGGATATGATCGAGATCTATAGACGTACATATAAAAGCATGTATGGTATGAAAAAGTGAATAGGGAAGTGTTATTTACCCCTTCATATAACACAAGAACTAGGGGTCATCCAATGAAATTAATAGGCAGCAGATTAAAAACAAACAAAAGGAATACTTCTTCACAAAATACAGTCAACCTGTGGAACTCATTGCCATGGGATATAGTGAAGTCCAAAAGTATAACTGGGTTCAAAAAAGAATTAGATGAGTTCATGGAGGATAGATCCATCAATGGCTCCTTGCCAAGATGGTCAGAGACACAACCCCATGCTCCCGGTGTCCCTAAACCTTCAACTACCAGAAGCTGGGACTAGACCACAGGGGATGGATAACTCCAAATTGTCCTGTTCTGTTTATTCACTCTGAAGCATCTGGCACTGGTCAGTCAGAATACAGGCTACTGGGCTAGTTGGACCATTGGTCTGACCCAGTATGGCCATTCTCATGTTCTTAAAATCTGCAAATCTGGTCTACGCTCAAAAATTGCTCACTGCTAACAATGGATGTCAGTCACAAGTTCAGCAGCACAGTTTAACAACTAGCAGAGTTTGACTAGCAAGTCAACGCATGGACATCAGTGCTGTTATGTTCACAGCACACAGAGAATTAGATAAGCACATAAATACCCTTGATGAAAGGTTGCAACATAACACCATTTCATTTCTTAGAATTCAGAACAATAACACACAAGAACCCCAAAACAGAGAGAGAAAAAACAGGCTACTCTCTACAGCAGTGAGACAAAGCTCACCCTATCTTGCTTTAAATTGGCTCTTTCCAGATTGATACCAATTGCACTGACTGCAAGCAGGACCAGAAACCTCCAGCCCCACTGTCAAGTGATAGTTTGCAACTCCCCACATTCCACAATCCAACACAAGTGTTGTTTCAGACACCTGTGATTAAAACTTAATCCACGCAGGGGTTAACCAAGGGTTTCCAGAATCATGCTGAAAAGTTTAGACTGGTGTACCTTTGCTGTCCGACTGCACCTCAGCCCAGTGCTGGCACCCATTGTCAGCAATGGGTAGTTCTTCCTCATATAGACTGCGATAGAGTGGGCTGAGGTCTTGATAGATTCATGGTATTATAATTTTTAGTCTATGGTAACCCCACAATGTACTGGGTACTTTCCTGACATTCAAGAAGGGACAGTCCCTGTCCCCAGGAGCTTACAATTACACGCAGTAGAAAGAGGTATGGGGAAGGGGAACCTTACAGAGGAAAGGGACGTTGCTTAGTGCACATTGACTAGGAAGCTATTCTGTGTGAAGGGGCAGCTGGGGAAAGCAGACAGACAAAGGGAGCAGCCAGAACAGAAACTTGGGCAGAGCACGAGGAGCTGGGCATGTAGGGGGAGATGAGGAAATGCAGTAATTCGTAAAGTGCTTTGAAGACATAAAATGACACGCAGAGCTTTTCTTGGGCTTTCGAGATGCAGCTGGGCCAAGCCCTGAAAGGGAGGAACTGCAAAGATATGATGCAGGAGAGTGGAAGTCAGCAGAGCAACAGAGAAAGGCGGCAACAGGAGGGACCCTGGCAGGAGAGCCCAGGTGGGCTGCAGCAGGCTTGCAAGTTGTGCACACCCCTGGCTAACTGAGCCACCTATACATCCTGTAAGGGGGTGTTGTGTCTTTTGGTCTTTACCCAACAAATGTAATACGAAGGAACTATATGAGCACAGTTGTGGGGGTGGGGGATGGTCTAAGTAACCATGCTTACTATGTAGATTGAACATGCCAGGCCTAGCTCCATACACACAGGGACTGGGTGGCTTCTGACACATAAGGAACAGTCAGGGCTACTAGAGAGTTCACAAACTATTTAAAGGGATACTATCCAATTCTTCTACACTACAGGGGGAATCTTTGCTCCCAGGGGACTTTAGAACTCAGTCTCTGATCCTTTGCCTTGCAGAGAGAGCTGAAAACATGACTAATATAAACCAGCTGCTGAGACTGGACTGGGCTCCACATTTGGAGCATGAACGGGCAAATTTTACCTAGGGAATATCATGTGCATCACAGACTGAGGAGGAGCATTTCTGAGGAATCCCCTTGTTGAAATGTTGGCCACACATCCCAGTTAACAGGTGCAGCAGCCCATGGCAGGCACAGATTGAGGAGAACTCTCTTAAACCAACACTTACTCAGTTTGTGGGCTCAGCCAGCCGAGCTCACAAGGCCTCATCAGCACAAAGAGACAGGTGTGGTTCAGCATTTGGTTTAGATTAACCCGTATTGACTAAGGTTTAGCTGTAAGCATAACAAGGACAAACAGTGGCCAGCAATGGTACAGCTAAGCCCCTTCCTGAAACAGAAATATTTCCTAGTGCAAGCAAGGCCTGAGGCTGAAGAAATTCTAGACAATATTAAAATTCCATCTCTTATGAGGTGGCATTTCCTATCAGGAAGCAATTCCTTCTGACAAAACCAATCACTTTCACCACCTCAGCTATATCTTCCAGCCTCCCTCCTTTAATCCTTGAGATTAAATTAAATTGCTGCACAAATGATCTGTAAATCTCCAAAGCCGGATGTCTAGTTCTTCAGAGACAAATTCAGCAATCAGTACAAGAGAACAGAGGAAGGATAATTCAGCAAGAAACTGGTTGACAAGCTGCACTTTTGTAAGCTTGCTTGTTCAGATCTGCTACTAAGGACAGGTAAGGTTGCATGTTGTCCTGAAGGGATATGGCAATTTACCCTCCTACAATGTGGATATCTGGCTCACCAATCCTCAAATCCTTCTTAGATCTCTAATATGAGACTGCAGCTAGATAAATAAGTCAGGTTGCAGGGCTAAAGTAATTATCCTTCAACATATAGCTGCCTCTCCCTCTTAAAACTCAATTAAATTCTATTAAATCCCATATAAAATAATTCATCCAATCCCAACATTAATGCTGATAAAAATCCATTAGAAATAAAGAGAGGGAGTCTTTTCATACAAGCTGAAATCTGACAGCTATACAGACTGATAGAGTCATTTATAGAGGAGTTGGTTGAGATATTCTAGCTGTAAAACATTTTCATTTCAAAATTTTAAACAGAGAGGCTGCAGTTCCACTAAATAGACATTTCTGCAGAGTTGTTACGGTCTAGGATCCAGAACGGGAACTAAGTAGACTCTGTTCTGTAGATTTTTCCCTGTCTCCAAAATGTGAGTACTCCAGCTCATCTCTCAACACCTAACCTCCCCAAAAATGGTCCCCGCAACTCACACGAATCAGATTTGGGCAGAATTCAAGGACAAATCACATAGCATTCTTTTAAACAGTGTTTGGCTCAAAGAGGAGCTGGGTTTGTCCACAGAAGCTTAAGCTGAGAGCATAGTTACATTTATATCCTTAGAACAGTTAACAGTAAGGCAAGCAGCTGGCAAAACTACTATAAAGTGATATAATTTTAAGATGAAGACCCAGACACCATTAGAAAAAGGCAACATACAAAAGGAAAACAAGTGGGCTTTGTACCCTGTTTCTTGAGATGAACAAAGCCTGATACATTCTTTGTTAAACATTTGTTTTAATCAGATATCCCTCAAAATCCTGTTTTTCATGGAAAACTCTACGGATAACTGGAGAGCTAGCAGGATTATGGCTGACTCTGGGGAAGTGACACCAGCTAGAGTGAAAAAGGGATTTTTATTCAGACTGTTTAGGGGTTTTATCACGACCTGTTTCACTCAAATGCCTGAACAAACAACAGGAAGAAAAGATCTTGTTACAGATTCAGTATTCAGCTAAAGGTTGAGAAATCTCATTCTACGTCCTTGGGGTCTCCAACCAGACTACCAGCAAAAACAATACTGGGAAGACCTAGTATTGCCAATTAGGTACAAGGGGGGAGGGGGTGGGGGAAACCTCAGGCCTTTTTTGCCCAACTCATAGAATCAAAACAGGGCACAGTCCCATATGCCTCCCTGTACAGCTCATCTTTAAGGATGATTTAGATATAATGAAAGCAGGTAGGGGGAGATGCTGAGGGATGGACTATCCAAGAGATCCCCACCCTAAATTATAGAGTGATTCAAGAATCCACCTTCAAACGTACCATGGCCTTTGTAAGTTAGAACTGTGGAAGTTTCACATACACGCTGCCTCGATAGCTTTGCTTTGAGAAATATAGCTCTTCTATCAAAATATAACACAAGAAGGCCACAGACACATGCAGTATTGGATCTTTCAGTGGAAAACACTTTACTTTACCAGATCTGAAATGGTGGGGCCAGAGGTTGTTACAGATAGCACTGAAGCCCAGCACTACCATTCCTCAGACATTTTGTGTTGATAATTCCGTCTTTATATTTTCCATCTCCATTCTGATAAAGAACTGACTGATATTGGATTTCTTGTCATGCCTCACAAATTTAGCAACAGATTTGATTAAAGAGTTAGCCTCTGGGGCTGGCTCCTAACTTCGTATCCTGAGATACACACTGGATAACATCATCACAAGACAGGCTTGGAAAAATATCCAACCTCTTGATGTCCATGGGAGCGGCCCTTTGATTCTACCAAAAAAAAAATTCAGCGGGGAATCTGGTTAATTCCTTTCTTTTACAGCTCACCTCCAGATCGCAATGAGTGATGACAGATCTCTCTGTTAAACAAGCAGCAGATTTAAAATTGTGTAGTGGTAGCATACACTGCTGAGTCCCCTGGAGATACTGCACAGAACTCCAAATGGTGGCCTCTTCCTGCCTCCTGTGGTGGGTGATCCAACGGTGGGTGATCCAAACTTCAGTGGGGGCCCCTGCCCCAAGCAGCCATTTCCCTGTTACAACCCACTGACACTTCCCTCATACAACAGACTCCCTGCAGAGACGCTGCTGTTTACTGATGGTTTCCCGAGCTCTAAACCTGTATTTTCCATTTATAATCTGAAATAATCTGTGCAGTGCATTTGCTCCTCCTGTTTATTAGCTTGCAAAATAACTAGGGATCTCCGTGCTGTCTAGCAAACTCATTATATCATTTAATTCCTAATTTCTATTAGAAATAAAATTCCTCTACTGACCTGTCTCCAGCAGCAGTTCTAAGAGCAGGAGATCCGTCAGTCCCTGTGCAGGAGGGAGAGAAGGGGATTCTTACCTGGGATGGATTTCATCAAACAGCAGAGGAAATGTCCCACATTCACAGACAGGAGATTGATGGCAAACAGAAGGATTTGGGAAAACATCTGGAAGATCCTCAGCTCTGAAGAAAGCCTCAGATCCAAGGGTATCTGGGAAAGATGGTATTGTGCAGCTGGCTCCGATGGATGTGTTGAGTAGGACTGGCTGAGGCCATCACTTCAGAATAAAAGCCTGTACAATGGTAGGGATGAGCCTGCACAGTGCAGCAGATAGCTAAACCAATGTTGTGGTTTAAGTGCACCTGCAGGTCTCTAGCTGCTCATGAGGGGGCGACTTTATTCTCAGAACCAGTCTCCCTTAGAAATAAATCCTAAGGCAAAAGCTGCTGCTCTGGAGCTATCAGTTGCTCTAGGCAGCTCAACGGTGCTTATGTCCTTATGCAGATTGGGCTAGGTAAGTATTATGTATGATGTATAGTTAAGACTGCACATTTCCCAGCTCTGACAGGCAGGACTTTACTGAAGAGCTTTGTATAAAACATAATAGTTCCACCAGTAAGCAAACTATCTGTAGCTTTCAGAATGATTTTCTTTTCGCTACAGAAAGTCAGGGGCTCCCAGCAGAGACTGTTCTGTTCAGATCCTGATGAAGAATTATTAGCACTTAGTGCTTTTTAAACTGTTTCTGCAAAATACTTTCCAAGCATGAGTCAAACCTCAAAACATTCACATATGGCACGATTCCTATTTTATATTAACAAACTGAAGCATGGAGTTATCAGGTGCATAAGTTAGGTCGCAGTAGTACTGATGCCATGATACTTTATTGTGAGTGGTGCTGGGGGATGTGGGAGTGCATATAAGGAGGGAAGAAACAAATTTGTGCCCAGGTACCCAGGCCTCCAGGCAACCTTGATAAAGGATGGCATCTTTCTCTTCAAAAATCCTTTCCACTTAGTCTCAGCAGTCAGTTCAGGAGCTGGGTGACCTTTTTTACCTAATGACAGGTTTCAGAGTAGCAGCCGTGTTCGTCTGTATCCGCAAAAAGAAAACAAGTATTTGTGGCACCTTAGAGACTAACCAATTTATTTGAGCATAAGTTTTCATGAGCTACAGTTCACTTCATCGGATGCATGCAGTGGAAAATACAGTGGGGAGATTTTATATACACAGAGAACATGAAACAATGGGTGTTACCATAAACACTGTAACGAGAGTGATCAGGTAAGGTGAGCTATTACCAGCAGGAGAGAAAAAAAAAACCTTTTGTAATGATAAGCAAGGTGGGCCATTTCCAGCAGTTGACAAGAACATGTGAGGAACAGTGGGGGTGGGGGAAGGGGAAATAAACATGGGGAAATAATTTTACTTTGTGTAATGACACATCCACTCCCAGCTTTATTCAAGCCTAATGTAATGGTGTCCAGTTTGCAAATTAATTCCAGTTCAGAGGCTCGTTCACCTGCACATCTACCAATGTGATATATGTCATCATGTGCCAGCAATGCCCCTCTGCCATGTACATTGGCCAAACCGGACAGTCTCTACCTAAAAGAATAAATGGACACAAATCAGACGTTAAGAATTATAACATTCAAAAAACAGTCGGAGAACACTTCAATCTCTCTAGTCACTCGATTACATACCTAAAAGTGGCAATTCTTCAACAAAAAAACTTCAAAAACAGACTCCAACGAGAGACTGCTGAATTGGAATTAATTTGCAAACTGGACATCATTACGTTAGGCTTGAATAAAGACTGGGAGTGGATGTGTCATTACATGCTTTTAAAATTGTGTTGCATCTTCATTTCACAATTAAGTGAGAATGATCCCATAATATACATTGCTAGTTCTGAACGTATGTACACTTGGATACTAACTTCTCCTGGTCTTTTAGAAGCTAAAGGTTGTGACACATTTGAAAAAGTGAGTGAAGACTGTGGGGTTATATATCTGCCTCCCTATATTTGCATCTGTAACATTCCCTTCCTTCCACCTTGATACCTTGCAGTTGCTTGTTTGGATAAGGATATAGAGTCCTGGATGCCAGAAGTTGGGAATAGGTGACAGGGGATGGAACACTTGATGATTACCTGTTCTGTTCATTCTCTCTGAAGCACCTGGCATTGGCCACTGTTGGAAGATAGGATACTGGGCTAGATAGACTTTTGGTCTGACTCAGTATGGCCGTTCTTATGTAATAAACAGCCAAAAAGTATTTTGTTCCATCCTAGAGAGTGAACATATATTGCCACAATCCACATAGGCACATAAATCCAAATCTAAGTATAGTTTTCAGTTCCCATTTGTAATTATGCAAAACCCAATATGTAAGAATACTAATGAATCTTTCAGAACATACGGGTACAGTTCCCTGCACTACTTTAAGTGTTTGTGTTATCACACCTATTAAGTGCTGGCTTGTCCACAGCCCATGAAGGACCCACTACCAGACTCAGAATCTCTTTTCAAGCAGTTTTATTTTTCAAACCCCAGGGTATGTCTACATTGTGTTTTAAAACTTGCAGCAGTGAGTCTCAAAGCCTGGGTCTACTACAGACTCAGTCAAGCTGATTCTAAAAACAGGCGTACAGACTGTAATGGCATACTACATTGTATTATGCTATTCCGCCACTACATGGTGCTATGTGCAACTTCCCTTATTTAGGCTAACCTCAACCATATATGGCAGTACATTAAAAGATCTTATACCCAACACATCCAGTGTATCTCTCTGGGAAGGAAGCTCCGTAGTCAGTCCATATCTGGCACAGGCATCTGACTTGCTAAGTGGCAGCCCTAAAATCTACCGTGTACAAAGTTTACATAACACACACATTTGGGCTCAGGAGCCCACCCACATCCCTGGGCTTCAAAGCCCAAGCTCCACCCAAGCCCAAACACCTACATAGCTGAATTTTTAGTGCCATAGCACAAGCCCCATGAGCCTGAGTCTGTGGACCCGGGCTCTGAAACTCATTGCCACAGATTTTAAAGTGCAACGTAGACGTATCCCAAAACAACAACAGTTCCCCAGCCCACCCTGGGCTACAGCTCCCAGGGAATTTCCCCCTTTGCCTTTCTCAGGCCTTCCTGCTTCACATCTTGTTGCACAAAAAGGACTGAGAAAGGCAAAGGGGGAAATTCCCTGGCAGCTGTAGACCATGGTGGGTTGAGTAATTCTTTTGTTGTTTTTGCTTATGCTTGAAAAATAAAACTGCCTGAAAAGAGATGCTGGGTGTGGCAGTGGGTCTGTCGTGGGCTGAGACAAGCAAATACCTTATACACCTATTGCTGGGAAAACAGAACCCTGAACACAAAATCAGGTTGCTAAAGGAAGGATTCTGGGAAAACATGTGAGATTCACCACTTAGTAAGCATCCTTATAGAAGATGGAAGACTGAATATTGAAGTCAGCACCAGAACAGCAAGAGCAAAAGACATTCTGGAAGAATAAACATCTGATCAGAAAGCACATAAATTTGGAGACTAAATTCTAACTCTTAAAACTTACATTTGGCCTGTATCAAATTATGGCTGTGAAACATGAACATTCCAACAATCAGTAACAAAGAAACTATAAGCCTTAGAATTATGATCTTATGGAATAATTCTGAAAATATGATGGATAACCACATAATCAATGAAAAGGTATTGGAGATCATTGGAACTCAGTAAATATTATTTAAAGAACTTATGAAAAGAAAGATTTGATTTACAGGGCACACTTTTAAGAAGTTCAGCAGGCAATGCATGTTCATGGGCACTGGAAGGGAAAGTTAATGACGAAGAATATGAGGCAAAAAAAGATCTTTGGATGGATGAAGTGAGCTGTAGCTCACGAAAGCTCATGCTCAAATAAATTTGTTAGTCTCTAAGGTGCCACAAGTACTCCTTTTCTTTTTGTGGTATCCTAGGTAGATCAAAAGGACTATTCATCCATACAAAAATTACCAGAGGATTGTCCAGAATGGGTTCCATGGTTGCTAATCTCCTGTAATTGAGATGCCACAGAAGAAGAAGAAGAAGAAAAAGAGGATGTCACCGCATCCCTTCTCTTCTGCCTCTCCACACTCACTGCCAAAAAGAAAGTTTTAAAATGCAGGCATGAAATCTGGGCCTCTATTGAAGTCAACTGAAAAACTCTCATTTACTTCAGCAGGCCTACTATTTAACCCCAGGCCTATTTGCTATTTTTAAAGTACATTTATATTCTGTTACTGATCTGAGATTTTACACTTTTTTTTTAAAATTTACTAAGGCAGTACAGTTTAAACAGTGGAGGAGAAGCTTAAAGGAAAAGTAATTGCCAGTTAAGCTCTGCTGATTAGATCTGGCAGGTTTAAAGCCAATTAATTTTCAGTTCAAACCTCCCTCAGTAAAACTGGAAAGCGGATTGTGGTGGGAAAGGTGCCAGTTGGAGTCCATAGGTAATTCATTCCCCAGTGACAATGTGGAACAGCTTTTAGATTCATTGTAGGTGATAAAAACAGTTTTGTTTGTTTCTTCCCCCAGTAAATCTTGAGATATTTGAGAGAGGCGATTAGTAAAGATCACCATCAGTGTGGACAAGATAATAAAAACAGCAAAATGATACTCTGGTATATCAGAGAAGGGAACTAAAATAATCAGCAAGGAAACTACTGTGCTGTGAACACTACTATCTATATAGAAGTGTGAAGAACACTAACAGGCAGCCACCAGGCACACAGAAGGAGCACACTGATACTTTTAGCCAGTAAGATGGTCACTGCAGATTCTTTTTTCAACTGAGAGAAACTGAAACATGAAGTCAGCCAGTTGGTCAGTTTCTACACTGATGAAAAGACTTTTTATAAAATCAACAGAGAAGGAGAAACCTTTTTCTCTAAGGAAATGTTCTAAAGATTCTGGACATATTATTTTAAAGGATGTTCTATAACAGGGGTGGCCAACCTGTGGCTCCAGAGCCACATGAGACTCCTCAGAAGTTAATATGTGACTCCTTATATAGGCACCAACTCCAGGGCTGGAGCTACAGGCGCCAACTTTCCAATGTGCCGGGGCGGGGGGGCCTCAATGCTCAACCCCTGGCTCTGCCACAAGCCCTGCCCCCACTCCACCCCTTCCTGCGTCCTCCCCTGAGCCTGCCGTGCCCTTGCTCCTCCTCTCCCCTGCCCCAGCCTCCTGCACGCCACAAAACAGCTGATCAGGAGGTGTGGGGAGGGCTGCTGGTGGGTGGGAGGCACTGGGAGCAGGGGGGAGGAGGAGCTGATGGGGGGCTGCTGACATATTACT